ATCTTGAAAGTAACCGTTCTGATCATTTCTACCTGGATTGCATGTTCTAAATTGGGATTCCTTAACTCAGCCCAGCTCTCTTGTAAATTATAATTAAGCTCTCTGATTTTGAGGTGGAGGAGCTTGAAAACTTTAGAGAAGAAAAATGTTTTAGAGAATCAAACATGAAGGAGAAAAAGGAAAGAGCATTTAAAAAAAAACCCACGAGGACCGTGGGAGGAAGATGGAAAGAGGGGGGTTGAAACCTGTTGTGAATCCCAGCTGCTTGGAGATATGAAAGGGTCCGAGCCTTGCAAACGAGATGGAGAGCTGAATCCAAATTTGATCGCGGATGATGTCTATATCAGCTGGTCGGGTTATGGCAAAAGAGAACTGTTAACGTTTAGGCTCCTAGGCAGAGACTGAGCCTAGCAACAGATGTGACTCCGTTCAGGTTTCCAGTTCTCCTGTAATCAACTGTGAATCTGGGGGAACCTCAGATCTTACCTAATACCTGGGGGGAGGAGGTCCAGTTATAAAAAATCCGGATTCAAGCAGTGAAAATGAGCCAAGCAAATTATTCGAAAATGAACCGCTGAGCAACTAAGAAAAGGGGCGAGAAAAGCTTCGAGGGGGAAAACATGATGAGGTCTGGGAAAGGATGGCAGGAGCAGGGTGGGCTCGCTTGGCCCGCCGGCGCGGAGCGGGCATCCTCGCGGGCTCGCTGCCACCCTGCTTTGCCTTTGCTGCTGGCTGGCTTCGCTCTCACTTCGTTTGCTCTGTGCCGGAGGCTCGGCTCGGTTTGCTGCGTTTAACCAAAAAAGGCGCTTTTTCTTCTCCTCCCCGAGGCAGGCTGAGCACGATCCTGTCTCCTGGAGAGAGTGATTTTTCTGCCGGTGACTGTCTGTCCGCCGCTGGCTAGAGCCGATCGGGCAGCTGGAGCGATACATGTGCTCCGCATCAGCTCCCGTCCTTTGCAGAGTTAAAGGGGCTTTGGCGGCACGGTTATTTGAACTCCGTAATTACTAATGAAATCTCCTATGATATGGGGGGCAGGAGAGGTCTGGTTTCTTTTGCTAAGTGGTAGCCCCGTACTGCACAGAAACACGAATAATAATAATAATAATAATGACGATGACGATGATGATGTCAATCACCACAATGAGGATCGTAATAATAATAGCAATCGCCATAATTATGGTAATCATAACAATAATGTTAACAATAATGGAATCACCATAGCGATCATACTCACAGCAATAATATTATTCACCATAATGGAGATCCCCATAATCATGATAATCATAATCATACTAATAATGATGGGAATCAACATAATCATGATACTCATAACAATAATCTTAATGATAATGATAGGAATCACCATAATCATGATAATCATAATGATATCAATAAGAATGGAATCACCATCATGATGGCACTCATAAGAATCATATAACTAATAATGGGAATCGCCATCATAATGATATTCATAATATTAATAATAATGGAATCACCATAACGCTAATACTCATTACAATATTAATAATAATTAAAAGTACTATAATAATGATAATCATAATTATATTAATAATTATGGAAGCACCATAGTGATAATACTCATAACAATAATGTTATTAATCGTAATGGAAATCCCCATAATCATGATAATCGTAATAATATTAATAATGGTGGCAATCACCATAATGATGATACTCATAACAATATTAATAATAATGGAAATCGCCATAATGGTGATAATCATAATAATATTAATAATAATAATGGAAGCGCCATAGTGATCATACTTATAAAAATAATGTTATTAGTCATAGTGGAAATCCCCATAATCATGATAATCATGATAATCATAATAATATTAGTAATGGTGGCAATCACCATAATGATGATACTCATAACAATACTATTGATAATAATGGAAATCAACAGGGTGATACTCATAATAATGGCAATCACAAAAATGCTCATCACAATAATGACAATAATAATAACGCAATAATAATATTAGTAATTATGGCAGTAATAACCATGACAACAATAATCACAATAATGACGATAATTATGGCATCAGAATCATGATAATAATAATAATGACAGTAATGTTATTTGTAACAATAATGGCAATCGCAATAACGATCATAATGACAATAATAATATCGGTAATAATAATATTGGTTGCCTTTATTAGCATGCATGTTACTGTCCTTATGATCATCATTGCGATTGCCTGTATTATTACTAATAACATGATTATTATTCATTATTATTATCATTATTCCGCAATCAATAATGAATCCTAATAATAGCGGTGATCCTGATGCCATTATTAACAACGAGTTTTTCTTGTGATTATCGATGGCGCCGACGGTGATGACGACAACTCCAATAATGGTACTAATGGCTTTTATTGCAGCGATTAATAAGATCCGAATCCCTATCCTCCTTTTGTGCGGCGGTCCCCCGGTATCCTACTGATGACAAGAATCCGAGATAATCGCTGTCGCTGTTCCTATTCCTGGATAAGGATGGCGGTGCTCTGCGAGGGAGGGCAGAAGTGACAGCTGGAGGCGGGGCAGTGGCCGCACCTCGGACTATGGCCCCGCTCCCACGCGGGCTGCGAGTGGGCGATTCATCGCGGTCGCGGGGCACATCGCCCCGCTCCTCACACGCGCCCGCCCAGGACGGGAGCCCAACCTGGGGGAGGATCGTGCCCACACGGCGGATGCTGGGATGCTGGGGGGGGGTCTCCGGGGCTCGGGGTCCGCCCGGCCCCGGGGGGGCGGGCTGGGAGCAGCTGGGGGGGCAGAGACCAGGACGCCCAGCCCCTCCCTTTCCTGTCCCTGCCCCCAGCCCCAGGCACTGTCCTGTTCCCTTCGCCCTGTGAAGGTCACGGTGCCCGGCTCAAGCTGCGCCCTGACAGGTGCACCATATGCCAAGAGACCCCCCCCGCCCCCGGTCGTTGTGTGCCCTGGTAAAGGGCAGGGAGGGCATTCCCAGGGCTGGGACGCCCCCCAGGAGGCGGGGAATGCCACGAGTGCTGCCAAGAGCCTGGCCCCTGCCAGTGACTTCCTAGAAGGGGGGAAGGGAGAGGGTCCTGCTCAGAGCCATCAGCCCTTGCGCTGCCCCCGAGCTCCCCTCCGCCTTGGAGCTGGGGTGGTCATCCAACCCGACGCCTTTGTGTCCTCCCTTTTTCTCTTTTTTCGGGTTTCGTCTCAATAGAGGACAACCGGACTGTCCTCCGTGGCCACCCTACTTGGAGACCCCCTGTGGGTGCGCAGCGCTGGGGGAGGAGGGTGGGGTGAAGGGCAGGTCCTGATCCTGATTTTCGTCCCGGAGTTCATTCTTTCCATCAACCTGTTCCCACATCCAGGGGGGTGGGTATTCGGCGCCTTCCTGCGTTGCTGGAAGTGGGGAGTGCGGAAAGCAAAGCAGAAGGAAGGAGAAGGGATAGAGGGCTTTGTAAGGAAAAAGTAATACAACAGAATAACAAGCAACAAGTCTCCCTCCCGTTGATCCGCAGGGACTGCAGATCAGGCTGGTCCCAGGTGCTGGTGTCCCCATAATGAACACAGCAACGGGGGGGGGGGGGGAAACAGCGAAGGGGGGGGGGGGGGGGCAGCATGATCTGCATGCAGTCCGTGGGGATCAACTGGAGGGAGACGTCAGTGGGGTTGGCATCAGGCTCTTGAAATCCACCCCCAGGGCAAAGGCCTTCCCTCTTCCCTTTTTGGGTTTGTTTTGGTTTGTTTTGTTTTGTTTTGTTTGGGGGTTGGGGTTGTTTTGGTTTTGGGGGTCTGTTCTTTTTCTTTTTCTTTTTCTTTTTTTTTGAAGTTAGCTTGGTAGAGAGCTAGAAGGATCATATGAAGAAATAGTGATGGGGCAGGCCCTCTGCTCAGGGGGGAAAGCCAAGGGCTCGTTGCCTTTCCGAGCCCGGAGAGGCAGGATGTTTATCCCAGCAATCAACCGCCGAGGATAAAGAGCCACAGGGACAGCCCTGGCACGGTGTCTGCAGCACTGGGGAGCCAAGGACCTGCATTGTCCAAAGGGACAGCGATTGGGGAGGTGGGGGGCGGTCTCTGGGTCTTGGGGACCACTTGAAAGAGGACAGGCTTCCAGAAGGACAGAAGCACCTGTCCTCTCAAAATCAGGACGGTTAGTTTCACACGATGAGCAGGGCGAGCCTCCTCCCCCCAAAATAAAAATCAAAGACTCCTAGACAATGAGGGTGGAAGAGACCTCAGGAGGTCACTTAGTCCAACCCCCTGCTCAGAGCAGGACCAGCCCCAATTAAAACCACCGGCCACGTCTGAATGCAGGCCAGGTCCCACATCTACTGTGGATCATAAACCTTCAGGGGAGGAGAGGGGGGAGGTAGAAATCCTGGCCCCGCTGAAATCAAGGGGAGAGTTACTGCGGATTTCCATGGGGCCAGGATTTTCTTCCCGGAGTTCATTCTTTCCATCAACCTATTCCCACATCGAGGAGGTTGGTTATTCCGCTCCTTCCAGTGCTGCTGTAAGGGGGGACTGCGGAAAGCAAAGTGGACGGAATACGGATTGATAGCGGGCTTTCTAAGAAAAAAAAATACAACAAAATAAAAAGCTACAAGCGAAAATCTCCTTCGTCCTCCTCGTGGCAGCAGCCTGAGGTGGACGGATACTGCCACCCCAGCTCAGTTCGCTGTCCGTCCCCAAAGCCAGAGGCCGGAGCAGCAGTTCCCGCAGGCGGTGTCATTTATCCCCGCTGTGAGATGGTGAATCAATCGTGGTAAAGATGCACCTTACAAGCAACTGGGAAGCTCCGAGCAAGTGAGATCGTTTTCCTCCAGCAAGGAACTGGCAGGTGCCCCCCTGCTAGATCCAGGCGGAGGATGGTGAGGGTGAGGATTGGGGATGCAGTAAATAGGGAACCTGGTGAAGGTTGCGTTTTAGCTTTCAAACCGCGTGGCAGAGCGGGCTGTGTCTTACAACGCTCGGGGCTGAGCCCTGGACCACCTCACCCATCCCTCACTCGCCGACTCCAAGGGACCAGCGCTCCTGTCGCCCAGGCTGAGAGAGATGCTCTCCCGAGTCTCTGAAACGATTGAAAAACAAACTGCAGGGGCGGAAAGGGGGGGCATCCAAAGGACAAAGTGGGTAAGTGAGCGGGTTTGGCTGGAAGAGGCTGTAGTGCTCCCCTCTGCTCTCCCGCGCGGACAGTGACAACACAGGGACTGCCCCATCGCCGCATCCCCAGCCGGGCTCGGTGCTCCCCTGCCTGGGCGGGGCCTCTGCTCCCATCACACCCTGCTGGTGGAGCAACATGCTCCCAACCTGCGGGTTCCCCCCAATTCCCTCTCTCTGTATTGGAGTTGTTCTTGTTTTGGTTTTCTGTTGCAAGCAACCAGCTGCCTCGAGCTGTGAAATCCGAGAGTCTGTGCATAGCAAACTGGCATGAACCTTAATTGGGAAATGGGGTGTATACACATGGGTGTATATAGTCTATGCAGCACATATTTGTAGGTGTGTTTTTTGCAATTAGCGATAGATAGATAGACAGACAGACAGACGGGTGGGTACTAGATAAATAGATAGATAGATTCATTCTCACCTACTCAGCCTTTTGCCTCGTGTTTCTCTGCAGCTGGACAGTGTTGTGCAACACGGCGCAAATTTCAGATCCATATTTTTCTTGACTTGGGGTAAGGGAAGGGCTCTTCGGGGCGGGTTGTGGACGCCTCCCTCTTCCAGCTTCCAGCTGTGCAGGCAATCACAAATGTAGGGCAAATTCTCCACTGGTTTGTCTCTCGCCCAGAACTGGACGGGTGAAGTCTAACTCCTTATTCTCCTGACACGGCAAAGCCCTGGAAGCTTTAGAAAGTCAACATCAGATTGTTACTGTATCTTAAAATAAGGCGGTTTATTTTCAAGTCACATTCCAAAAATATAGAGATTTGGAAGGAATTCCTGAACGAGACTGAACTAAAGCGTGTGCAGGCAGCGGTTTGAAGAGGGGAATCAGGGCTCCCGAGTTCTGTCTCTGGATCTGTCACTTAGCTAGAACAAGCGGGGGAATCATTCGGTCTCTGTCTCTTGATACTTTCCGCGCTAGGTTTGCAGGAAAAGAAAGGGGCGAAGCATAATCAATTTTTCCTTGTTAACGTTTGAATCGATCTCCGGATTGATTCCCGAGTTAAGACAAGGGGGCAGGGGGCGTTTCTAGGACCGACGTTCTGGTGCTCACATGTAGGCGCGTGTTTCGCTGGATCGGTGTATTTGACCTGTATCTAAACGAATGAGAAATTCAAGGGGATGAACCGAACACCCCCGAGTTTCAGATCACGTGCCTGGCAAGACCCTGGCCTGTTTGCAGCTGGGTTTTATGCCTGCAACAAGCCAACGATTCAAATGACGAGGGCCATCAGCCCTCCCCAAATCAATCCTGTTGGGTCTGGAGTCAGGTAAGGGACAGTGGAGGAAGGGTGGGGGACACTAGGAGGGACACATCGAGATGGGAAGCGGGAGGGGGGGGAGGCGAGGCTTGGCTTGGCTTGTGAAGGGCCAAATATAATTTGAGGGGAATGATACAGCCCCCATGAAATCTCCCGAGGGAAACGTAGCGGACACAAGTGGGAGAGCCCTTCTTCCTGTAGCATCCTGAGAGCGCTGCAGAAAGGTCTGGCCACAACTTCCCTGATGGGATACTTTTGCCACACGATTCCTTTGCAGAAATCCCTGGCCTGTCCCCTCCCCGCTCCCCCTTATCATCACCGGGGCACCCTGCCTGCAGGGACCACTTTCCGGGGGCGGCCCTGCCCCGAGCCGGCCGGGGACTGGAGCGACATTCCCCCGCGCCCCGGTGCGGAGAACGGGAGACCGGAGAGGGGCAGAGACCTTGCTCTGGGGAGGAAGCTATTGATGGCAGCTGAGCTTTGATCAGTCAAAGAGTAGAAAGAGCAAGGAGGCAGAAGGGAGGGGAAGACCTCCGCGCCAGCATCTGAGCCACACGGGCCGCTCAGCCGACTTCGTCTGATTGAAGTGGCGTTAAAAGGAAGCCTCAGAATAGCAGAAACGTATGGCCCAGATGCTGGTACAACAGCTACCGACTTTTAACTCGTTTGTACGGGGCCAAAGAATGGGAGTGATTATTAGTGTTGCATTTCAACAAGGGGCAACTTTCCCAGCGGAGGGGACGGCAGGAGCAGCCCTTGATGACTTGGAGGGGCGGAGGCGACTTTGAAACACGCAGCAGGGCTGGATCCGGGGTGGGGGGACAGGAGAGGGCTCCTCTGGCTATCCTGCTCTGAGCCCGGGACTGACGGGGACAAACGAATACCCCGTGTGCCTCGGTGGACCTTACTAGGCATCAGTGTTCATTCGTAGGAATAGCGATCTCTGCCCATCAGTGATCAAGGAGGGGCAGTTAGTTAGATCAGAGTAGCAAGGGACCCAGTTCTACCTGGATCTGCGAGGGCACCGGGCTGGAGGTCTGCCTGGAGGTAGCCGACTCGATGCAAGGACAAGATAGGCCAGGAACATCCTTGGCGCCAACTCGGATTGGAACAATACCAGCATGGGCTGTGGCCAGGAATGACCCCGGGGCCTGATCCGAACCCACTAAGGACTTTTGCTTCCATTCCCTGGAGTGAGATCAGGCTCTCCCTTACCCCTAAGGGCTCTTCCATGGCGAGAAATGGGCTTTAAAAGGAGAACCTGGAGGGGACCCCCCTTCCCCCGGGCGGGTATTGTTAAGGAGGGAAGTGAGATCCTCCTGTCCCCCAGCCCGCAGCGCTGGGACCCGCTGGTGAAATGAGACAGAGGAAAAGACCTGGCACGAGAGGCCCACGATGGCTCCAGCTGTACAGACTCAGTTGCAAGAAATACAGATGCGATCTAAATTCCCGGGTGGGGGGCGAGGTTTGGAGGTGGGGGAGGTTGGAGATGGACGCACATATTTTTCCCCCACCCGGGAGGCTATCAGTAAGTCCCGTCAGATCTCAGCTCAGGTAGAAAAGGAGCTCGGTGCAAGGCCCTGCAAGAAAACAAAGTGGAGATGGTTTGCAAGAGTGGATCTCTGACCAGCAAGCTGGGGGGGAAGGGGTGAAAAATGATCCAACACCGGGCACCCAAGCCCGTGGCACGGGAGAACCCCAACCCCAGGGGAAAGCATCCCAGCTGCGAGCCCAAGCGACGGCTTCAAACGAGCTGCCTCCTCCTAGTGTCCCTCCGAGAGAGGGGTCCCATTCCCGCCAGCCCCCATCGGCTACTCCCCTCTAGGCGTCTGGGTTTAGGTTTTTTAATATACATTGAACCCGCTCGATCGTGGCTGTCCACGTAATGTGTCCACTGTAGCCTGTTCCCTCCACAACACCGTCTGACTACTGGGAGAGACAAGCACTTCTTTTGGGTGATACCTTGTATGGGACCAACTGCACATGGGTGGTATTTTGTGTGGGACCAACTGCACAGCTGGCATAGACAGGCTTTTGAATGCAAGACATTCTTCTTCAGGTCTTCGGTCATTAGCCGGGTAATTAGATTCCTACCCAGGCAGAGGATATCATGAATTAGGGGTCGATGCAATGAATGTTAGACAGCCCCCTCCCTGGAGATCACCTGCTCTAATCCGAAATCGATCTAATAGGGAAATTCACCCGCAAAGGGGCTGGAGAGGCTGATCGAGGCATTTTTTTTCCACTGGCTGTCACAGGCTCGTTGACATAAAAAGAGCCGCTTATTTTGGAGGCTGGACTGGGTGAAATCCCCCCTCTCCTCAGTCAAGAGCACAGTGTACACGAGCGCTGCTTTGCCTCTGCTGGAAAACCAAGCCGTGGCCGGCGCAGCCCGGGACAGCAGCGGGCTAAGGCATTTGATCAGGGTCATTGGCACATTTCTGGCCGCCCAAAGGAGCCCAGATTCTGGTGGGAGGGGGGAGATCTATTTCACAAAGAGGATCAATCGCCTTCATGCCCACTGCCCACCTCTGTGTGAGATCTCTGCCCCTGATTCCGACGGGGTTTCTTTCCCAACTCTCTAGAGAGAGAAACCCATTGGAGTGAACGCACCGGCCGGGGTGTGGATGTCATGGCCGCGCTCCTCCTGCTGCCTTTCTCTCCCTATTGTATGATATAAAATCAGTCTCGAGACCTGGGGGGGTAGGGAGAAATCAGCTTTAGTTTCAGCTCATTCCTGTTCGATCAGCAACCACTGGATCGCTCCCTTCGCAGAAAGATCTGCTCAGCATTTTTTCCTGAGGGTCTTAACTTCATCTGACAACTCCCCGGGCCCGCTGGGGAAATCCAATCGGCTCCCCCTCCCCCCCTGCCCTCCTTCTTTTCTGCCTTAAAAAAAAAGAAAAGAAAAGAAAAAAAGAAAGCCCCAAACCCCGCGTCCATTGAAGAGAGCTGATCGGATGGGGAAATAAACCGGTGGCGGATCTGAATGGGAAACAAAGGGGAAGCGCAATCTCACACTCTGGTCTGTCTGTCCTCACCGGTTTGTTTGCGATCCAAAAGAAAAGCGCGGCTGGGGTTTAGGAAGGGGCTTCAAGCAGAAGGCAAGGGGCGGCGGGGATCGGCCCCGGTCGGTAACGATTGCCGCTCCCGCGCCCACCTCCCCGGGACACGGCGGGGCCAGCGGCCAGGGGGCGGGCAGGGGCGGGCGGCACCGAGCCGCCGCATCGCCCCTCCGGCTTCCCCCAGCCAGGGAGGCACTCCTGCCCCCGCTCTCCCCGCCATCCGCAGCCAGAAGAGAGCTCCGGAGCTTGCGATCTCGTTTGTTTCAGGGAAAAGCACCCCAGGCGCACCCCGAGGGGCTTCCCTGCCTGGGCTGAGACTGGCGTGGGACTCCTTGCCTCTCTCCAAACCACTGCCTAGAAACCCTTGATTAAGACGCACGGAATCCAGAACCGCCTATTTCACTGAGATGTGGGAATCAAAGCACGTAGCCGGGCACCTGGCTTCAGACCAGGCAAGATTTAGATGACACATTCGGGTGCACGAATGAAGGGGTGCGTGTAGACACAGATCCCTTCACTCAGGCATCTAAATGGCCAGAGAAATCAAGCCATTGCTAGGCAGGCAAAGGTAGCCCGACAGAGCTGGAGCTCTCAGTTAAGCAGGATACTCACTCCGGACAGGGACCAGAAGGAGAAAGCAGGTCCGTCTGGCTGAGTGCTCTCTGAGGAGTTCCCACTGGCCGTCCAGAAGAGGTTTTTAAGAAAGACTCGAATGCATGGAGTTGATTTGCTTTTTATTAAGTCATAAGGGGGGGGGGGCTGGCGGGTGGAGAGAGTGGGAGAGAAACAGAAAAAAAAATAATAAGGAAAGAATTAAGCAGGTAATAAAGAGAAGAAGGCAAGCAAATCCGCTGAAAGCTTTCTTGGACCAGAGACCCGAGTGCGCCCCGCGCTGCAGCCCTGCTCCAAGGGGGGGACTCGGCAGTGTTTGGAAATCTAGTAAATGGATCCATCCTTGGCTGCTGCCAAGAGGATCCGAGCAGCAATGCTCCTAGGGAGGACTGCAGCCCCTCTCGCTGTAAGAGCCCTGCTTCCTCACACCCCGGCTCTCACTTCCAAGTTCATCCTCTCCCTTGCAGCCGCTGGCTCTGCACCTGGCCTCTCTCCCCCCAGCCTGGCTCTGCTCCTCTCACAGACCAGATCCACCCCACCCCCCAGCCCAAAAATATTGCATGTAAAAACAGGAGGGTATTCCCGCCTCTCCCTGCTCAGTGAGGACGGTGGGAGGGAGGACCTGGCTGCAAAGGTCCAGTGTGTATCTCTGGATAAACCTCCTCCCCCTACACACATGCACACACAAGTACCACCTTACACACACGCGCGCACACACCCCACCTTACCAAGCCCTAGCATGGACCTCGGGCCCATTGGCTTCGCTGGGGCGGGAGAGAGGCCTGGTGTCTGGGGTGAGATTTGGGCTCCTTTCTAGCCTGGGTTGGGGAGGAGAGGTGGGGGGGTTGTCCTGATTGTCCAGTCTCAGGAGGCCAAGAAAGGGTTAAGGGCCTCTCCTTTTTTTTTGACTGAAGAGCTGTGGCTGTAGTTTGCGTAATATCTTTATTACTGAAAACTTCAAGGTAAGAGAGCAATGGAAACCAGATGTGGGACTGCAAGAAAGGCCGGGTAAAGAATAAGCCTAAGGGGCAGCAGGAGTTAAACAGGGGAGGAGGAGGAGGAGGAGAGTCAGGTTCAGCTGTGGGGGAGTCATCCCCAAGCCCTTTCTGGGTTGCAGCTGACCCTTCAAACCAGGGAAGGCTACCTCCTTGGAGGTGGCAGGCGCCTGGCAGAGCCCAGGCTGCCGAGGGACCCCACTCAGGGGTCACCAGCAGTGTGTCAGCTGGATGATGATGATGATGATGATAGCCATAAAAGCAACAATAGCGGTGACAGGGAACGTCGAGGAGCCAGTGAGCACTTGCCCTGGGTTAGGTATCTTCATCTCCTGATACTGAGGGTGAAAAACACCACCCATCCAACCTGTTAGGCTCTCACAGAGTCCAGCTGCAAAAGGGTTAATGGGGGATCCAAGGGCTCGAGCGCCCCGAATAGGAGGGGGGGGTCTATATTGCTGCTAGCAAAGGACCTAGTTGAGGATGTCCCTGCAGCTGCGTTGCAAAGGCAGATAGGGGAGAAGGGCAGAAAGAATGGAGTGTGTCATAGCCATTACATCCTTCCCTGCTCTTCCGCCGGGCACAGATCCCCAGATTCATCCCCTAATTGCATTCATGTCATGTGCTTGATTCTCTATTTTTTAATCATAAAAAAATCTTTTTTTTTTAATGCAAAATATCTGACCTCCTCCCACCCAACCCCCCTTTTTTGTATGTGTGTGGGGGAAGCTGGGGTGGGGGGGACTGCTGAGAGGAGTCTCTTTGGAGTGCAGATAGTTTGGAGGGAGAGACAGAGAGCGAGCGAGTGAGTGTGTGTGTGTGAGAGAGGGAGGGAGTGGGGGGGAAGGACCCCTTTTGCTCTGCAAGATCTGAAGGGGGCTTTGGAGATCTGGTCAGCTTTCAGGAACATCTGAATCCTCTTAGAGCTCCGCGGCCCAGCTGTGTGTGTGTGCGAGCGAGCCGGGAGAGGGGAGCGGGGCGGCTGGTGCTCCTCCAAGCGCATTAAGGACACTCGGGCCTTTTAATTTTAGGAATGAATGCTGATACTTGTGTTTCTTATTGTGATCCGGCTGCCATGGAGTCCTACTACAACGCAGCCTCCCAGAGCACAGAGGGCTCCTCGCCTTTTAGGGCATTTCAAGCGAGTGACAAGTTCAGCCCCGCTTTCCTGGCCAGCAAAGGACAAGGCTTTGGTGAAGGCAGCAGCAAGTGCAGGCGCCGC